TTCTACATTAAACACCAAATTTGTTTTTTTTTTTTAAGAAAAAAAACCGAGATCTATTTCACCGGCCCATATTTTCCTAATAGCTATGTTTGAGAACATTAATTTTTTAATTCTTTTAAAAATATATTACTTTTATTACACATTACTCTTTTCTTCGTTTTGCTTTAACTTTTACTCTCCTTACCTTTACTATGATTAAACACTTAAAATAAAGTAAATGTTTACTTGGTTAATGGAACGAAGATAGCAAAGCGAACGCACCGACCGTCCCTCTTGGTTACTTGGCTTTCAAAAAACAACTGAACACTGAGATTAAAGTTGAAAATATTTTCTTCAACACCAATGCACCGTCGTCGTTTTTATTGGACTATTTGGACAATTTAGTATTGGTGATAATCTTGAGAAGGTGCTGCTATTTCCATAACGACAGATAAAGAAATTTTAAGTTGAAAGTTAACAAAAAAGATTAACAAACCATGATTATAATTTACTCTCTTTAGCAGTAAAAAGAGGGTGAGTGGAGGAGAAATCAGCTACCATTATCTCTGTGATCGACATTGGATTTGTTGTAGAAAACAAATTAGAAAGAGTGTTAGGTAAGGGGGTTGGAGAAAGTAAAAGGGGAGGTTTTGAAGAAAACAGCTGACCCGTAGTGTTTAGTTATAGAAACGTAACGTACACCCGTGACGTACAGTAGTTGTTCTTGTCAAACGTGATTTTTTTTAAATAATCCATCTTTTGTGGATTTTTGTCATTTTTATACCCTCCACCATAGTTTGTTTGTAACAACTCGAATTATAGATTTTAGACCCTACTTCTATGTAGATTTAGCGATGTCCGTCTGTCTATCCGTCTGTGGAAATCACTCTAGCTTCCGAACGAAATGAAGTAGATTGATAAAATGTTACTCAAATGTATATTATGTCTGCAGGACTTTTGGTATTGAAAATGGGGCATGTAAGTCCATGTCTTCGTATAGCCCCATATAACAATACCTCCCGATAATTTAAGAGAAAATTAATTTTCTGTTTTTCTTTATATTTTACGATTCCATTTGCCAAATTTGCCAAATTAATTTATAAAGCAGATGAATAAAAAATATTTGTATAAATAATGGCTTAAAACTGTTTTCTTCTTTATTTAAATAAGCAGAGAGAAATTTGTCTGGAAAGAGATATGTTTTCTTGAGCAGCGCTGTTCCAAATGGTGGAGGGTATTCAAAGTTCGGTCCGGCCGAACTTATAGCTTTTTTACTTGTTTCTTCCTAATTTTAGCAATATTTTTTTCAATGATGTATTTTTAAAAGCATTGTATCACTCGAACATTTTTTAATATTATTTATAAATTTTTTCTGCGTGGACTTTTTGAACACAGTTTTTTGATTGTAGATTTTCTTGAAATATTTTTTTTAACGGTCGTTGATTTTCTAGATATATTTTTATTAACCTGTTATTCGTGGATTTTTAAAATTATTTTTTCAATCATATGTTAATTTTTTTACATGTTTTTTGGACATCTTTTATCAAATAAACGCGGATTTTTTAAACTATTTTAAAATAAATCTGTTAGGAATCGAATTTCTTACAACCAGACTATCGTAGATTTTTTTAAATATTTGTGAAACTATTTTTCAAGACTGTACTTTTCTATACTACTATTTCAAATTCTTTAGTAAAATTGTCGTAGAGGAAATTTTAACAAAAAAGTTTCAATCGTGAATTTTATTTATTTATTTTTTTTAATGATGTCTTTAAGAAATACTTTTAAATGTGAAAATCGTATCCTCTTTTTAAAGGAAGTTTCTGAGTCAATTTTTAAAACTATTTTTCATTTCACTTAAAAGGTCTAGTGTCTTAAAAATAAATGGAAAACACTGTTACATTTAAAAATATTTTATTTGCATTTATACATTCAAATAAATTAAAAATAAACACTGAATAAAGTTGTTAAAACTGTAAACTTATCTGCGATATCTATAACGTTTGAAATGGAACCACAACTGAAATATATTGTTATGAAACTGGCAACGAAAACCACGTTTATAGCTGAACTCCCACTCACGGTGGACAATTTTAAAGGCAATATCCTCGTAAGGTGGGCCGGCACGAAATCGCAAAATTGCAAAATCCGGATTATCTTCACATTGTGTGAGGAAATATTGTGGAGTTTTCGATTTGTCAATCAAATCGGGGTAGAATATATTGAATTTATAACCTTGTACAATTTTGGGTGGCGGATTATCCATATCGTAATGTGTCTGATTGTATTTATTCCATTCGAATCCGGTGTGTACTCGATTGAAATATCGAGGCTTACGCGGTCGATACTTATCTGTTGCCAATTGTATGGCCAATGAGTTGTCGCATGGCATTTCAACAGAAAACTCAACTTCATCATTGGACATTCCCTTACGCGCCTCCTGCCGCATTTTTGCCAACTCTTGTGTCATGCTGGACTCTTGGTTTATTTCCAGTAGCTGTTGTCTTAATGTTTTCAAATTAATTTCATCTTCCTCTTCGTCGATAACATTAAGTGATCCTTGCGACTCAAATGGTATGTACGTAGGGCTATATCCACCTTCATCGTACAGTGCGAAACAATCACTTTCGAAAAGTTCTGGCGCAGTATCCTCATTTTCTTCATCTCTGACGTCTGTGTTGCGGGGAGACTCAGTTGAACTAAGTTCTTTCGCTTCTTCTTTGATCGATGTGGTTTTCAGCAGGTCCAGTTTCTCTCTCAATTTCTTTTGATGATGATCCCTAAGTCTTGCCCTGGCCATATGAGCTTTGAGTTGAGATAGAATATTTTCCCAATAACTTATATCAACGCCTTCAGTGCGGGAATCGATTTTGCTCTCAATTTTGGCCCTTAACTCATCTAGTTGGGTTATCGTCTTGTTGCGGAACGTGGCCGAGACGTCCTTAACCACACTCTCGTGTATTCCTTCCCTGCGCGAACTCACGGCCTCGTCATGCTCTGCTTGTTTCCTTTGCTTATGCAGTTCATCTTCAACTATGATGGTCATATCATTCCAAAAATCAATGTGTTCGCCCTTTTCCAGTTCAATGTAAACTTTTATGTCGACCAAGAGATCTTCTAAATCCTTTATGTTCAATCCATTGAGGATGAAGTAGGGTTCATGCATTTGCATCTCAATGGCATCTTCTAATTTTGAATCGTTGATATATTGAGCAAGCAGATCAATGGGCTTTGCCCGACCGTCTTGAATACGTATTTCGCTCCGCAAACGTGCTTGTTCCAAATGAAATTGATCTTCCTGCTTTTCCCATTCATGAAATTGGGCTGCCTCCTTTTCTCTTTGTTGTAAGATCATTTCCTCCTCCCGTTGTTGTCTTTCCCTTTCTCTTTCCAAGCGTCGCTTCTTTACTTTTTCCAGCTCAATTTTATTTTCCATTTGCTTTTGCCGGTTAATGGCTTCAACCGTTTGCAGGGGAGCATCTTTGAGACCTTGTTTCTGCAACTTTTTAGACCATACAAAAGTGGATGTCAGATTTGAATCACCAAAAGGATTGTCCTGGTCGGTGTATGTTTGATATTCATTGTCCCAGCCCATGCGTTGTTTACGTCTCAACTCCTTAGCTTCCTTTTCTCGTAAACGTCGTTCACGTTTCTGTTCGGGAGTTTCTTTTGCTTTCATTTCTTCCTTCATGCGTTTCTTCTCACGTTCTTCCATTAAGCGCCGCTCCTCCAAAGCTTTCAGGAGTTGAATGTTTTTAGGCATAGACTCGTCTTCTGACGAGGAAGATGAGGATGACGATGAAGAGGAGGAGCGGTATTTCTTTTTTGATTTGGATTTATGTTTCGATTTATGCTTATGGCTGCGATGTCGATCTCCATGGCTATCTTTCTTGTGCTTCTTTTCTTTCGGCATTATTCTTGTGTGAGTCCTGTGAAAATGTAAACGTTTCACCCACCCGCAAGTTCCAAACAATAATGATGGGCACAACTAAATTACAAAGCTCATATAAAAATTTCGCCGCCGTTGAAATAAGGACCAAAAGAGTAGTGATAAATACAAAACTCAAAACAAAAGTAACATGCCTTCAGAGATATAAAGATCGAAAAGACTGAAAGACGGCTGTGGCGTTCATTGAATGAGCGACAGAACTAGATAAAATTATTTTACTGACGGCGACGTAGGCAGTATATGCTGGTATTAGCAATTATGTAATGTAGACTACATGGTACAAGAATACAGGTAGTCGCATCGACACAGCTGCTGTACGGTTGGGAACATTGATATGTCAAAATTTTAAATGTTTTTGACTGGCTAGCTTCTCCATCGGCTAGCTTCTCCATCGGCTAGCTTCTCCATCGGCTAGCTTCTTCGTAGATCAACAAAAGAGTTTTAGGTTGATTAAGTTCGATTTTGGGCCTACTTTTTTGTTCTTTTCGAAGAAGCCAGCCGATGACTTAAGCTAGTCAAAAAAGCGTTTTATGTACTCTCACCTTAAACCAGAATAAATAAACGACTGTACTCTTTTACACTGACTTCTCGGTGACAATGCTTTTCTCAAGAGTATATCTTGAGCTTGGGCGTTAATTTTGCTTTGCCATTTAAAGCTTTCATAATAAGTTAAAAAATGTCTAAATGAAATCCCATTTCGAGGTTCGCAATAGTTACCAATACCAATTCTGTCGGTATCCCCCAAATAACAGCACCTAGCCCTATTAGGTATTTAATTCGGTTTGTATTCAGGATTTTTAATGGAATTGTCTCAAATTTGGTATTTGTATTTTACATCGTTTTCGACACACTTATAACATAATGTTAACCAAACAATAATATTTTGACAATTAAGGATCTGCTAGGGATATATTTTCTTAACTTAGACATCACATACTATAGCTATTGGTAAGTGTAAACTTAGCTTTAAGAAAATTGAGGAAATACCGCCATAATCTGTGTTGGATTTATTGTCAAAAATAAAACGGCGTCAATTCGCAGCCGGGTCAAATATCGACGAAAGTATCCCTATTATTAATATTCTTCCCGCGCACTTCTTCTGTTGACATCGTGGAGTTCTCAATATCAAAAGATTACAACTATACTTGTTGAATTATTTCAAGGAAACTAGTCGTTTGTTGCTTTGAGTAATTTCCTTCAAACAAAGCAAAAAAATTATTAATAAAATGAATAATAAATTAACAAAGCCAAAGGAAAACAACGAAAATTTGTGTCCAACAACGAGGTAAGAAAAAATAAAGTCGCAATAGAAAGAGTTTGTTCTCTTGAAACGTGTCATGTTAAGAGAGTGGGTATGTCAGTGAGATACGGGAGAGTAGACAAACAAACAAAAAATGCAATGTCAATTCGTGTGTTGCTGCAAAACAGTGTTGGTTAAAAAATAATTTATTAACAAAACAAATGAGTTTTTGTGCATAAATCGCGTTGCTAAGTGTCAAGTGCTACAAACCAATGAAGTGAAATTGTTTAGAACATGAATATTGTTCAAGAAGTATTGACGAATTAATATTGACTGAAATAAACTTCCCCCAATCTGCTGTTGCATGTATGTATGTACATATCATAGCTTGTTGTGTTTGAACAATTAATTTACGAGCTTTTAGTTAACATAAAAAGTATTTTCTCCCATATTTGTTGAATATATTTACGTTGAGGTCGCCGATTAAATAAAATAAATTCTTATGTGGCTTCATCATTTGGGGTCAACAAACGTACAAACAGTGGGTATGTGTGTGCAATTGTTAACGAGCAGCGGCATCGACATATAATGGGCGTGGATTGGGGGTTTGCATTTGTTTCCCTGCTCCAACAAAGTTCCTGGGTCATTGCCTTTTCACAGATTTCATAGTTACTTTAAAGCCGTAAACATCTTCGTTATCTGTTGAAAGTAAGTTACCTATATACATAAAATATATGTTCGACCACACACACATCTTTTTAGGAAACAATTTTTCATGAATCTGAAAAAATTAAGGAATATTAAAAGGAAAATATACCCAGTACACGAATACCACTTTAATCGGTTAGAATTTTTACAATAGACAAGCCTAATTGTTCTGATCAACACGATAAACAATTAACACATTAAAAGTGGGCTTTACTTTCGAATGGAATCTTAAACTCAGAGTTGAATTGTAGCTAGATCGCTATTTAAAAAAATGACACGTTTCCACACCTCTTGAATTCCTTTTTTACATTTTGTCAGCATTATTATTGTTTTATTACACAATGCACCTAGTTATTAATGAACTTTCTCTTTTGCAGAAAACGTTTATCTAGCAAAAGTGCGACACAAACCCCATCGTGGAAATTAGCAAAACTTGAAAGTACTTCATCGCCATCAGCTCTTACAAACGAATATTTAGAAGAGATGGGCATTGGAATGCTAGATTCAGAGGAGAGCTCCTCATCAGCGGCTTCCGCCATAGCATTAGCTGTGGCTAGTGCCGATGAAAATTCCAATGAAGCCACCCCAAATTTGGATGCACCAAAATTTTGTCATCAACAAAGGCAAATTTACCGAAATATGGACACATCCTTGCTAGATGCAACAAATGATAATGCTAGCAATCACAGCTTTTTGGATCCCAACGATACATCCACCTCTTTACAAAGTGGAAAATCTACAAATGGACAACATCAACATCAGCCACATCCTTTGAAACAACATCCGTTAAATATAAACAACAATTCAAATTCATCATCATCTTTTGACATATATACAGATGAACAAGGACAACATACAATACAGAAGACAAAGATCAATGATAAGTTTCACATGCCAAATAATACCGCACTTGCTGGTAGTCAACAAAAGAAAATTGCCATCTTGGGAATGGGAGCAGGAAATGTTGCGGCGTCAGGTGGGTCGGCCAACAGCAACTCACCCTCGTCAGCTGGAAAAAACACTAGAAGTCCTTTGGCCACCGTGGCTTGCAACAGTTTCCTCAGAAATGCCCAACTGCAGCAACAGCTTTTATTGCAACAACAACAGCAGCAAATGCAATTACAACAAGTATGTATTTTTGTATAATATAAAAATATTTACATTAAACGAAAATTTTATTGTCTTTTCTTAGAATACCTTTAATAATTCCATGCCACAGAGGTCACAGTCTCCCTCAATGATGCCGTCTACTAGTCAACAGGCAGCTATTTTAAAACAACAGCAACAATTGCAAAAACAATATATTCAACAACAAATGCAGCAACAGAGCGTTCATATGGTGGCCCAGACGCCACGATTCGCTCCCTCCGACACTTTCTTTCTATTTCGCAATCAAACCATGCGTGAACGCAATCCCGATGGCAAGGATCATTTCAATACACTTTCTGATGAGATTATATTGCAAATATTTAAATGGTTACCCAAAAAAACTTTGCTTCGTTGTGGCTATGTATGTCGCCGTTTCAATCGTTGTGCCAGCGACGAATCTCTGTGGACACGTTTGGATTTGGGCGGCCGTTCTATCAAAGCAGGTGCAATGGAAAATATTCTTAAAAGAGGCGTTGTCATACTGCGATTGGCTCAAGCAGAGGTAGGAAACGTTTATCAGTATAATTGAGAAAAAATAAAAACGTCTTTATTACAGCTCAATCATCCAGTTTTCGAATCTCGCTTTCTAGAAGCCGAAGCCAATTTTGAATCAAAACTACAGTATTTAGACTTAAGCATGATCACCATAACGAAGCCTTCGCTTAAAATGTTACTGTCACGTTGTCGGCAATTAAAGAAACTAAGTCTAGAGCATGTAGCTCTCAACGACGAAATATGTAATGAGATTGCCAAAAATACTGGTTTAGAGGCCTTAAATTTAGCCATGTGTTCGGGTCTGGAAGCCTGGAGTGTTAGGAAAATTATGGAGGCCTTGAAACAGTTGAACAGTTTAAATATATCATGGACGAATTTATCGGTTGATGCGGTTACATCTCTGGTAACAAATGTAACGCCAAATTTAATGAGACTCAATGTGGCTGGTTGCCGTAAAACTATGTTTGATTCACGTAAGTTGAAATGACAAATATTTGTTTTTACGTTGATATCAATCAAAATTTTATACTTCCAGATTTAGCTAGTTTAGCAAAACGTTGTACTCAACTGCTGGAATTAGATTTATCCGATTGTACTGGACTAACTGGAAATGCCATAAGTATTATATGTAAATTTAAAATGCTCGAATACTTATCATTATCAAGGTGTTATCTAATACCTGCCACTGCATATATGTATGTTTTGCTACGATGCTTAGTTACATTTGAATGCAACAATTAATCAATCTTTTTATTTACAGAGAATTGCGCAATATGCCCACACTAACTTATTTAGATATATTTGGAATGCTAACTGATTCAGCTTTGGAAATGCTGGAACATACATTTTCAAAAATTGGCATAAACAAATTCATTCATAGTTCTGTAGCACGCCCCACTGTTGGTACCCGGCGAACCTCCATTTGGGGACTACGTACACGAGATTAGTTTTATAATCTTTTGTATAAATAAAAAAAGAAACATTAAATATTTTATCGGTAATGTTCATTTCTTTCATATTAAAAAAGTTTAATTACATAAAAAAAAAAAATATTTTATTTCCACATATGTTTCAAGTATCTTTTTCCCTTTGAAAGAATTCATAATTATCTTCACAATCGATTCATTATAAAATTTTAACAAAACTAAATTGTGGAAATTTTATTATTTTTTATTATATACCGAAATCCCTTTTTTTATACAAACTAGAATAGTATACTAATGAAACCTACAGAGTAACGGCTTAGCTCTAAACAACTGTAATTCTTTATTTGTGAATGAAATCAAATTTTAGTTTAAGAATTGTGTAAATAAAACAGTTAAAAATGATTCTATGGTGAATTGTTATATTTGGATGCACATATCTCCTTGATAGGGAGAACTTGTCTTTTAGTATGTACCTTTAAGCATACATGACAGCGACACTTCCGCACACCATGGCGTTGACTACGAATTTATTTTTTTAATAACATATAAAATGTCTTCTTAACATGACGAATAAAAAGTTTAAACCAGATGAAATGTCAAAATGTTTGGCTTATCTCTAGTTTAGGAAAAACTCTTCAATTTTTCCCAGTGGTAGGCATTCCGGGAAACTATTTTGGGGGGACTGACCCGGGACCCCATATTTTCGACCGAAAATCCGGGAACCACTTACTCGATATAGACAATGTATCGTTTGAAGGCTTATGAAAATACCTGTCCAACAAGTGGTCCATGGTAATGGGGTTATTTTCAAGCGATTCGGAAGTTATAGTCAAATAATCGATTTTTTGGACCCGGAATTTTTATAAAACCTCCAAAAAGTCGAAAAAAGGCTCATAATGGCTGTCATCCAAATTGATGTCAAACTATTGCTGACAATATTACCTTTCCAATATGCAAGAAAAAATAGTTTCTTTAGTTTATCTATCTGTGATTGCAATCACAATAATGTATTTTGACATTGCATTTGGTAATCAGCTGTCTTGGCAGGGGGAACTTATATTTGGACCATAATTTTGAGGTTACGCTCCTTTGTTTTTTACGAAGAAACCAGCCGATGGCTTAAGCCACAAAAAAGCCTTTTAGGTATTCTCACCACGGTGCAATAACAAGGTGTTCCTGCAAATTTAAAAACCCAGACGTAGTGTCAATGTTTGTTTACACTTTGCTGGCAATTTCTTTATTTTGTTCTGTGATTTTTTTTAATTACAATAATACATTTTGGCATTAAATTTGGTAGGCAGCTGGCTTGGAAAGGGGGCCATGGTTCTCGCCATAATTGTTTTGTTGTAAGATTTGAATATTTTTGTTATTTTCTATTTTATATTTAATGAAATACAACATTTTTACATGGTTTGGTTTTTTAATGACAATTTGTTTGCCTTAAAAAATCAGATGATTGGTTGCAGTTTTAACAGGTGAACGTCTGTTTACTTTTAACGGTTTGCATTTAGATAGAATGTATACGGATTTATACACCTTATCAGTATTTATAGCTTAATTCGGATTTATTTAATCATATTACCCATATAAAAATAAGCTTCTGTTTTAGTATGACGAAAGGGAAGAAAAACTACATTCCGAATGTATTTTTTAAAATATGAATTTAAATAAAAAAAATTCATTCGGACAATAATATCCTCCCAAGACCCATGTTTAAACCAGTTCTATTAAGCCGAGTGGATTAATCTGTAATAGTATAAACGCACTATTACTCTCTGAGAAAGAAGATGCTGGATAATTTCTGCATTAATCTATATATAACATGATAGAAGAATATAGGAAGATGCAACAATGCTCGGGAACATTAATATGTCAAAAATTTTAAAGTGTTTAGTCAAAAATAAGAAGATCTTTATGTTTCTTTTTAGACGACGCAATTTTTAAGAATTTCAAAATATTTTCATTTAAGATTTTCAATTCCACAATCGGTTTGACAGTTTATTGTCCCAACAGCTGTGACGATGTGACTACCTGTATTCTTCTACCATGATATATAACAAGACATATAAAAATACTTGGCGAAAAACTTGAAATAAAACAATATTGTTTTTCTTTATTTATTATATAAATTTTTTTAATTATTTTTATTTTCATTCATTAGTTCATTGTTAATATATTACAAAGTCTTATTTAAATTCTTGTTTTTTAATTAAATTTTTAAAATTTTCCTGGTTTTGTTTTATATTTTGAAAAAATCTATAATAAAGTTGGTTTTATTTTATTCTTTAAAGTTTTGTTTGTGTTTGTTGTTGTTATTGTAATATATTTAAAACGTAACTATATAATTGTATTTCTTTTAACCTATCCAAACTTTTGGTTTGCATTAGCTGTTTTTTTAATTTTTGAAAATAAAATAAAATGTCGTTCTATTTAATTTATTTCTGGAATTTACAAATGGACTGAAACAATTGCAAAAGTTGAAGGAAAAAAATCAAAATAATAATAATATTATTATTAAATAATAATATAAAGGCATGATTGTTAAAGCATGTTTCCATATATAATGATAACAATTGTTAATTACATTGCGTATACACCATGGTAGAAGAATACAGGTGGTCGCGTCGACACAACTACTGGGACAATGAACTGTCAAACCAATTTTGAAATTGAAAATTTTAAATTAAAAATTTTTAAAATTGAAAAATTGTTTGGTTTCGTATAAGAAAAAACTTATTTTTAAAAAAAAATTTAAAAAAAACTTTGGCATATCAATGTCCCCAAGCGTTGATGCATCTACCTGTATTCTTCTATCATGACATCCAGATGGCATGAAATTATATCGCGTTTACATACAAAATTGTTAGCCGGGGTTACAGCAATGAGTGACCAATCACAATAAACTTGATATATATTTTCCATTGTCAAATTTATTGAATTGTTTATCACTGTTAACCCGGACAAAGATTTGTACGTAAAGGTACTTTTATAAAATGTAACTCAATGACCCGTACCTAGCCGCTTCATAAAGTACGTTTACATACAAAATCTCTACCCGGATTAATACTGGTAATTGACCAAACACAATATATTTAAGGTATGTTTTATGTGGTCAGATTCATTGTAATTAGTCAATAAACAAGGTTTACCCTGTTACAGTATTGTATGTAAAGGTACTTATACTCGGCAAAGATTCATGAAATCATATTTTCAGTCCAAATGTTAATTATTCAAATAAATATGTACATGTGTACTTTTTTGTCATTTCTCAGAACAATATTTCTTGTGTTTCTGTCTGTTTTTGGCTTAAACTAATTATAAATTGAAATTTATTTTATAATAACTACAATACGAAGAGGAAGAAAAAAGCATTTCTTTTATTTATATTTACAACTTTGTGTTTGTTTTGTTTGTCTTTATGTATAACAAAAACAATAATATAAATAATAAAAAAAAATTAAAAAAGTCAAATAATTTATATTTTTTTCATTCGCTGCGAGTTTTTAACGGAAGTTCGTCTTACATTCAGTTGTGTCTTTTTAGTATTTGTGACTCTGTTACTTTGGCTAATTAAAAGAATTCTTTAATATATGTATTTTTTAATTTATCATAAAGATATGGCTGTTCTACGATAGTACATTCTTTGTTTTTTTTTGTGTATGTTTGGGGAAGATTTCACAGTAACAGAATTTTTGATAGGGTTTTTAATGGCATTTTTGTCTGTTTTTTAATTTGGTAGGAAGAATGTTTTTTTTTATATTTTAATATATAAATGCTGGTTGTCTACTTAATAATGGAAGTTTTGTGCAAAGCTCTTCTATTTTAATTACACTATGCAACTGTTTCTTTTAACGGTTTGTGTCTGAAATAAATTTGGCAATTTTTTTTTTGGCTAAACTTTAAGTAAAATAAGGGTTTTGTCTCGGAAATGCAAAACAATTTTAAATATTGTTTCCAAATTTCTAAAAATAAAATTACATTTGCAAAAAATTTTTGACACTTTTCGGATTGAACACATAATTTTTATTATGCGTTCCTCTTTAAGCTCTTTATTTTGTTGGTTAATACTTTGTTTCTTAAATTTAACTTAAAATAAACAATTTACCCTCAGCATATGACCAGTTAATTAAGAATACCCATGGTGCAATGAGTAAAATTTACAATTTACATGACGTATACGCTATAGAATTGACATTTGAAATCGCATGGATTTAGTAATCTAAACGCGCTCTTAGTTCACACGGCAATATGATATAGGGGAATATAGGCATGATTCATCTGTCAAAACCATGGTAGAAGAATATAGGTAGACGCGTCGACACAGCTGCTGGGACAATGAACTGTCAAACCAATTTTGGAATTGAAAATGTTGAATGAAAAATTATTTAAATTTGTAAAAATTGTTGAAAAACGCGAATTATAATAGCCTCCGAATGACGTAGTATAAGAAAACATATAAAAATCTACTTATATTTGAAAAAACATTTAAAATTTTTTGACATATCAATGCTCCCAAGCGTTGATGCATCTACCTGTATTCTTCTGCCATGGTGCAATCGCTAAAATTTACAATTTACATGACGTATACGCTATAGAATTGACATTTGAAATCGCATGGATTTAGTAATCTAAACGCGCTCTTAGTTGACACGGCAATATGATATAGGGGAATATAGGCATGATTCATCTGTCAAAACTACCAATTTACTCCTTAATATATACGCATAATCCAAACACCATATTCTTTATAAATAGATCGTGAAAACAGTGTGTATCGTAGAATACAGAAAATTATAATTTTATAGCGCGTTTAGATACAAAATTTCATTCGGATGAATCTACATTATCAGGATTTATTACTTAAACCGGATTTATTTAACCAGATTTACCATACAAAAATAGACCTTCTCACGATCGGATCTATTTTGAATCCGATGTGGAATCTACATACTAATAGAAATCATCAATGGGTACAGCGGCAGTACTTTGGTACACTCCAAAGATGCAAATGTTTCTGCAAAGGCTTTGTTTAAATTTTGCATTCCATGTTAGAAGAATATAGGTAGACGCATCGACACAGCTGCTGGGACAATGAACTGTCAAACCAATTTTGGAATCGAAAATGTTGAATGAAAAATTATTTAAATTTGTAAAAATTGTTGAAAAACGCGAATTATAATAGCCTCCGAATGACGTAGATAAGAAAACATATAAAAATCTACTTATATTTGAAAAAAAAAACATTTAAATTTTTTTGGCATATCAATACTCCCAAGCGTTGATGCATCTACCTGTATTCTTCTGCCATGTTGCATTCTAACTATAACAAAAAAAAAAAATAAAATTGTAATTGGTCATGATAATACAGAATGTGAATAAGCACTTATTTTTCAGCATCAATTGTCTTCATGTTAGCTTTTTCGAAAAATAATTTTTGGCAAGTTTTCGTATACTCATTTAGTTTTGTTAACCCACTGGATCTATTAAACCCAGTGGGCTAATCCTCAAAAGTATGAATGCGTTATTAGGTAGTTTTATGCTCTTCTACAATGAAAAGAAAACAAACGGAATCCCGGCAAAAACTTGCAAGCAATCAGCTGATTTATCAAAACAATGCAATTTGTTCATTATAAAATGAAGTGCAGTTCGCAAAAGTAAAAAAATATATATTAGACTTTGGGTCATCGAAAAGCATTTTGAATAATTTGTACAAATTGTTGGGAGATTGTACACGCCTATTGCCCTTTTAATTTTTTTGCCCATTTTTGTGCCAAAGAGAAATATTTTTCTTACTATCCCAAAGAATTACCTGGTTAAGACTTACTGGCATGGTAGAGCCATGGCTCAATAAGAGAGGTTGCTCAACTTCAAAGAAACTAGAAAAATGCAACTCTGGGCTGGAGTCTTATAGTGTCAAATAGACTTTTAAATATGCAACAGTTGGCTTTGTTTACTTTTAATGTTTTTTAACAAAATTGTTTTTTTTTTTTGGAAAAACCTGCGAAACAATAATGGAATTCCGGGGTTATTTCACAAGATTGAATCTAAAATAGTAGGTCAATACAGTTTTATCACAAAATTGTATGTTTTGACAGAATAAGAGCACAAAAAGAAAAAAATTGTATTTAGGGGGTTGTTTTGTTCTGCCTTCTGTAATTATGCCATGGGTAGAACTAATGGTGTAGGTACAAAAGAAGCTTGAAGTCATGGCTAGGTATATTTTGTGATATTTCATAAAGGAATTACAGAGCCGCACTAAAATCTTGCCGTCGTTTTCCATTATAATTTGACATTAATATGCCTAGCCATATATAACATATAAAAATCTACTAATTTAAAAAAAAAACTTTAAATTATTATGTTTCCAAGCGTCGACGCGTCTACCTGTATTCTTCTACCATGGATATACCTAAAAGTACAAAGTTCATTAATAATAAAGATGTTTTTTCTTAATTATTTCAAAAGGATTTTATTAAAGGATTACTTCAAAATTCACCATGGCAGACCCATCCCGTTAAGCCTTTGCTTACTTGTTGTGCCCAGTCTGTTCTATTCTGGGAATTGAATAATCGAAGTTAAATGTGGGACCGTTGTTATCATATCTCTTTGATATTTCTAAGAGATGTTAAATTTTCAGAGCTTTTTTTCTTGGAATTATACATTTAATGTGGTATTGAGTGTTTAAATAGGTGTTGAGGACTCAATCATGGTATTTTTGAAAAAAAAATAAAGTAATAAATACTTGGCTTAGAAATGGGTTAAATAAATATAACAAACTGTATTCAAGTGAAATAAATGAATCGAATAGCAGTTTAAAATGTCCTTGAAGTGAAAAGCCGATTTTTAGCAGTAGCACCGTGTTATCTCACTTTTATGATAATATACATTTGAAAGGGTTTGTTTGTTTTTCATTTGTGTGAATGTGTTTTATTTCAGAGGGAATGGCAGTGGTTTATTTTCTTTGACAATAACAGAAATCCACAAAAATATGTATTGTTTTTTTGAAATTATAACATTTTTAATTCAACATTGCTTTAGTTTTGTAAGACTATTAAGAAAAAGAAAGCAGTTGAACATTCAGCATAAGTATGGCCTTTTTTTGTTTTTGTTTTTTAGTTATTCCATCTTGGAAAATAAAGTAAGTAATTTTGTAATTGTTTTAGAATAGTAATCGAATGTTTTCATTTTATTTTTTGTTTTGTTCCCTTGTATACAGTTTCATTTTGGATTTCTTTTTCTTTTGTTTAATAAATAGCTAGGAATAAACCTTTTGGGGGTTGGGGCATAATTAATTATTGAAAATTAAGAAAAAATACTAAATTAATGAAAACTATGTTAAATAAAACTCTACATTCAATAAAAACTAGCAAAACTTAGAGCTAATTAGATTCGTATATAAAAATGCAAATTAAATATTATATTGAAACGATAATAAAGAAACATTTCTTTTAAGTAATTGCGGCTGAGAACACGAACTCGTATCGACGACATCAACGCCGTCTAAAGGATGATTAAGACTATGTGAATCATAGCCTAAATCTTGCATTGGAACAACTTCGGGTAGCAGGTGTCGCATATGGGATGATGGAGAGCGTCGACCTTTCATTTGATGCCTAAAAAGGGAGAAAGGAAATATTTATGTTAATATGGTCAACATTTTGTACGTATTAAGTGTATATATTAAAAAATAGTGGAAAACAACTTACGTATTGTCTTGAAAGGAATTTAAAGAAGACTGTCGACTAGGTTGTCAAAACAAGTTGGGGGAGTGGAAAAAAAATAAAAGAACAATAGTTAATTAACTGGGTGTAAAAGAAAATAATCAATAAAAATAACATATGGTTTAAAAAGTGTTTGATCTATAGAACATTGTAATTCTTCATTTAAATTAGAACTGATAAACTACAAACAACTTCAGACTGCTGTCATTTCAAAGCCACTCGTCTGACAGCTGTTAAAATTGTTGCAGTGACAGCTCATTATATTAGGTGTGTCTGGTTACTTTTCCAGCAGGAATTGTCCAGCAACTTCTTTCTGAGAGAAAATATAGTTTTATTCTCTTTTGCAAGGAAAATGCGAAAAGTAAACAGACGGTATTCCTGCAGAAGCTTGCAACTAATCAGCTGATTTGTCAAAACAAACCAATTTGTTCTTTCTAAGGAGAATTAAAACAAAGGAAACAATACTAATTTTACAAGATTTTTAAATAAAAATGTTGGAAATAGTCTTTTATTTTCTTATTACATATTAACATTTACGTTTTTCCCATTTTGTAAAGTTTTTCTCCAAAAACTATTAGTCTTGCTAATTCCAAAAAAAATATTTAAAATTGAAAGCACAAAAATAAATAAACAAACAATAGAAAACATCTGATTGAATGTCGATGAATGAGAAGAAGAAGAGTTGCAAGTGATTGCAAGAAGAAATTTGTCCAGCAAAAATTTGCAAACTCTCACTGAAAGAACTGTCAAAATTTCTCTCTCCAACCGCTCTCTTTTGCAGAACTTTCGGGTTAACAGACGACTTCCAGTAACAATTTGTAACAATTGTTACAAAATTTAGGGTAACCAGACACACCTATTGTTTACAAACGTACAAAAGCATTTTGGTGACAATTTTCTAGAAAAAAGTTTTTTCTTGATGGAATTCAAGCGTGATAGTGTGATTTCTTTATATTTGGGTGGAAAACCAAAAGTGGCTATCGTTAGAGCACTCCAGAATTTAAATGTGAATAAATCTTTTATGTATCGTACCATTGCTCGTTACCGTGATACTGGTAGCGTAGCCCGACGTCAAGGAAGTGGACGGAAGAAAACGGCAACATCAGCATAAATGGTTCGAAAAGTAAAGAAGCGCCATGATCGAAACCCGCGTCGCAGTGGCCGAAGAATGGCTCGTGAGCTGAACATATTGCAATATTCTATTCGGCAAATATTGAAATATGAGCTCGAGGCAAAGCCATTGAAATTCCAAAAAGTGCAAAAACTTACACCGCAACAGAAAGAACAGAAAATAGACTCAAAAAAGCTAAAGAGTTGCGTCGCTTGGTCGAAAGTGGTGAACTGCCGAATTTGGTTTTCTCCGATGAGAAAACATTCGTTATCCAGCAGTTCAGTTCAAACAAAATCATCTTGTTTACTTGCCAAAGAGGTCAGCTGAAAATGTGGACCTTCGGTTGGCCACCAGAACTCAAGCGCCGGCCATGGTGGTGGCCGATGTCGTATTAATCGAATATAATCGCGAAAATATTCTAGTGTATTAAAGCCTTGGGCACGCAAACATTTTGGCCGCAGATCTTGGACATTTCAATAGGACTTAGCACCATCGCACTCGTGCCAAAGGTGACCAATTCGAACAAATCTAAACTTATTCTAAAATTTGCTTTTCTGACATGCTATTTCCGACATTTTTGCTTTCATTCAATGCAATTAAAACAATTTAAAAATTATGGCGTTTGACTTTGTTGCAGTTTTTTTATCTCCCCCTGTATTTATTACGTAAATCCTATTCATAAATACAGTAGATATTAGGTGTGTCTGGTTATTCTAAAATTTGTAACAATTGTTATTGGAAGTCGTCTTGTTAACACAAAAGTTCTGCCAAGGAGAGTGGTTCAAGGTAGCAATTTTGGTGCTTCTTTTAGTGGAGTTTGCAAACGCTTGCCGGACAAATTTCCTCTTGAAATCATTTGCAAATCTTCTTCTTCTCCTTTCGGTGATTTATACTTGGACAAGCAATTTAAAATGTTTCATATTTAGGAAATTTGAAACCTTGTTGTTTTTTCGCTCATTTTACATTTTTGCGTACTTCATTTCTATTTGTGGCAAATCAGCTGATTGCTTGCAAGTGTTTGCAGTGATCCCGTTTGTTTACTCTTTATAGTTTCATTGCATTGACGTTTGCAGTGTCTTTTCAATTTCTGCAGGAAAAGTCACAAAACAAACCTCTTGTTTGACGGTTACGCTATGGAATTGACGTTTGAAATGAAGTGTGCATTTCATAAATCTAAATGTACTTTCTAGTTAAATTTGATAAGGAAAACTGCAGAAACCTGAATATTTTTTATTTGAAATGACTTTGCCTTGATTTAATTATACCATGCTATTACTAGTAAAAGAGAGCAGTACTTTTTTAACCATAAGCTAAACAAATATTAAAAATGACTTATTTGCTAAATTCATAGAGCAAATCATAAGTGGTGGAAAATTACAGCTTTAATTGGTAGTAAGATTTATAAAATAAAACCTCGGAAACCTCAAAAGATTTTTGGACATTTTGCAACACTTACCTTTTATGCCGCTTTGCACTAAAACATGCACACCGACATGAACACATTGATGATATATTGGAACCACTGAACGATTGACCGTCATGACCTTCATAACCGCTCAGTATGGAACCATTTGCAGTGATTACGTCGCCTTCCAGCTTAACTGAACCCTGGAGAGCCTGGATTGTGGAAATATTTCGTTTTGATAAAGGAAGTGGCGATTAGTATATAATTATCTATACAAGGGGCATGCAAAGATTACACATATATTCTCACTTGAAAATAAATAATAAAAATTATTAAAATACACAAATACAACATGAATTTCTCCGTCATATACTTTCATAGTCAAAAATGGTTAAAACAGGAAACGGAAATGTGGGAAATGTGACTTTGACAGACATACTCAGCAAACAGATAGAGGGAAAGAGAGAGAGAGAGAAAGACAGAGTGTAAGGAAGTCAAAATTGTAGTGGTTTCTGTGATCTGTTTCATTTCTTTTTGTTGGTATTAAAGGGTCTTTCACTATAAAAAAATATAACCAGGTAAATAGATATTGTTGATTGGCTTAGAATGTGTTGGTTGGTTGTTAGGTGTTTCAGAGTTGTTTTTAGTTTGAAATAGAATTGAGAAAAAAACACATGTTTTACATACAAGAATCTAAAGTTCGTTTTTTGTTTTGTTAATAATTACAAGAAATATAATCTTTCAAATTTGAATCATAACTCTACCTCGCTTGTCCAAAAATTGGACTTGGTCATAAACTAGTTTTGTTTTGTATTTTGGTTTTGGGGTCCGATTTACAATATGATTATTTGACGAGAGGAAAAATAAGAAAAAACAACAACATGTTATGATAATTTCTTATAACTTTTCTTTGCAAAAATTTGATTTTCTTTAACAAAAACGTTATTATTATTTTTTTAAATTTGTCTAGTTTTAAGAATGAAGAAGAAAATTTAAATGTGCTGATATCAAGTAATGTGCAACTAACATTATTTGACTGAAGTTTGTGGAAAAAATTAAAATTTCGCTACAAAGCTGAAAAACAAGCAAACGAGAGCGCACTTGAACATAGATTTCGTTTAACTTTTTTGATTTTGTTTTTTTTTTTTTTTAGAAAAAAGCTGCTGAAATTTCATAAAAATCTGTACAAATGTATTTGAATTTACGTGCTAAAAAAATTTGTATGTAATGCATATTGTGCTATTAGATTTATATTTTTTAAATAAACATTTTCAAAATAATCATGGCATTGAGTTTGGAGTGAGAAATTTTCAATATCCGATATCTCAAACAAATAAAAACCGTTAATACCTTACACCATGCGAAAGTTCTAAGTATAAGGTCCCCCTGCCAAGCCAGCTGACTACTAAATCCAATGTCAAAATGCATTATTGTGATTGAAATCACAGAACGAACGATAAACAAATATCCAACATAATAATAATCTTAAAGAGATAACTAAAATATTAATCTGCTAAGTCATGTAAGACTTCATTATGGAATGGTTGAATTTGGCTTTAGCTGGAACTAGTATGAAGACGATTCTTGTCTTGTTTGCTATAATACTGGTAGAAGTTTGTCATCTCTCATTTTCAGTTTAATTGACATTAAATTAATTAAAGGAAATTGTCAGCGTAAATTTTCGTTTTAGTACAGAATCCATATAGCAGGTGTTGTGAAGAATTTGACAACATTTTTCTGCTGATACCTCTGGGGTTGTGGCCCTAAGGGTGGGAATACATAAAGCGCTTATTTGGCTGGCTTGAGTCATCGGCTAGCTTCTTTGTAGGGGAACAAAGGAGTTTTAGGTTGACTTAGTTCGATTTTGGCCCTAGGCTCCTTTGTTCTTTTCCGAAGAAGCCAACAAAATAAGCGCTTTATGTAATTTCACCTTAAGGAAATTTGGAGGAAAGTTTCCTTAAAGATTCCTCAAAATGAACGGAAAGCCGAAAATATTTATATAGTAACATATATTTTTTATTTTATTTTAGATATCAAAATAAATTTCATTGAAAAAAATGACAAGTTCGCCAGGGTTGCCATATTCGATGTAGCAAATGAATCTACCCATGGTAGAAGAATACAGGTAGTCACATCGACACAGCTGCAGGGACAACGAACTGTCAACCCGATTTTGGAATTGAAAAATTATTCAAATTTGTAAAAAATTGTTGAAAAATTCATATTACTATCGTTAGAGCACCCCAGCATTTAAATGTGAATAAATCTTTTGTGTCTCGTACCACATCAAGGAAGTGGACGGAAGAAGACAGCAACATCAGCAGAAATGGTTCGAAAAGTAAAGAAGCGATTTGATCGAAACCCGCGTCGCAGTGGCCGAAGAATGGCTCGTCAGCTGAACATATTGTAATATTCTATTCGGCAAATATTGAATTATGAGCTCGGGGTATAGCCATTGAAGTTCCAAAAAGTGCAAGAACTTACACCGCAACAGAAAGAAAATAGATGAAAGTGGTGAACTGCCGAATTTGGTTTCCTCTGATGAGAAAACATTCGTTGCCTAGCAGTTTGCAAACAAACAAAATGATCGTGTTTACTTGCCAAATGTGCACCTTCGGTTGGCCACCAGAAGTTGATGATGTGGGCCGCCATAACAGCCGATGGTCGCTTTCCGACTAAATGCCGAATATTGTCACGGAAAAATTCTGGAGGGTGTATTAAAGCCTTGAGCACGCAAACATTTTGCCCGCAGACCTTGGACATTCCAACAGGACTCAGCACCATCGCACTCAGAACGTGTCACCCAAGAATGGTTACGGAATGAGGTTCCTCGCTTTATTTCCAGCGCACAATAGCCATCAAAATATCCGGATACCAAGCCGTTGGACTATTGTGTCTGGAGCATGTATTTTAGAAAGCGAGGTTGGCACTAAAAAATACCAAAGTGTCGACCACCTCAAGCAAGCGCTTCGCCGGGAATGTGCCAAAATACCGCAGAGCAACATACGGGCAGCGTGTGATGGTTTCATTGGCCGTTTGAAGGTCATAATTCGTGCCAAAGATGACCAATTCGAACAAACCTAAACTTATTCTAAAATTTGATGCTATTTCCGACATTTTTGTTTTCATTCAATAAAATTTAAAAAAATTTAAAAATTATGGCGTTCTACTTGTTGCAGTTTGTTTTATTTCACCCTGTATATAGAATTCATTGAAACATTGTATTTGCATTAGCATTACCTATTCAAATAAAAGTTGTTTGGTCCGGAGGGATTAAAATGATTTAGTCTACAGATCTCTAGGAACAAAGTGTTTTATAGAACACTTTTAATACGAATAAATCAGGCGTCAATAAGAACTTGCGAAAATATATTCATATATCTGTTTTCAAGGCGTTGAGAAATATTTCAATGTAGTGTGTGGTATAAAAAATATAATTTTATAATTGGATAGCATAACTATTAAAAATTATATTTTAATTCTATTCTACACACTCTCACATACACACCACTCATACCAACATGCAGGACAAATCACACGACGCGCATTCGTTCTTCTTCAATTTACAAACCATTGACTACAAACCAATAACAAAAACAAAAAAATAAAAAACAAGAACAATCCAACGTAATAGTGTGTGTGTGCAATAGCAATATCCTGCCGTATTACCTGCATGGCTTGGGCCTCGTCCCGGCGTTCGTCCTCCGTATTCATAGTAACAAATCTAAGGACTAAAAGATTTAAAGAAGCAGCCACAATGGCCAAACCAAACAATATGAATATTAAAGCAAACATAACGTATTCGGGTTTAGTGTTAAGAGCATTATCTTTTTGTAAAGCTACCATATCTCCAAAACCTGCAAAAGAATGAAAAGATAAAAGGAACATGGGAAGATTTTAGTATATATTTATTTTCAAATAAAATGCATTTCGGCCCTCTCACCTATTGTAGTTAAAGTAATAAAACAGTAATATACTGAATCAAAATAGCTCCAGCCTTCAAATTTGGAAAATGCCGCTGCACCACCAGCTATCGTTAGGGAGCTAAGCGTTGTAACAACGCAAATTAAATCTACTTCAGAGGCGGCAGTTCGTTTGCAATGCAATGATTTTCTCACAGCTTGTATAACAAAACTGAAAACAAATAGAAAAAATATATATATCAGGAAGAGGAGTTAAATATTGGAAAATAAATAACAATAGAGAACAAGTAAGCTAAGGCTATGGTCGTGCGATCAAAAATATAAAAAAAATATTCACTTTTTATTAGCATATTTTCACGCGATTTTCTTATATTTATCCTTTTCTGGCAAGAGGTCATTCCGAATTTGTAGGAATCGTCAAAATCCATCCAGCCGTTCTTAAGTTATAAACAATCTAACTAACATTCCCTTCATTGATATATGAGATTGTATATATTTCGTTATACAGGGTGAGATTAAAGAACTGCAACCAATTTCAGACTGCTGTCAGTGGCGAGTGGTGATAGTGTGATTTCGTTATATTTGGCTGGAAAACCACAAGTGGCTATCGTTAGAGCACTCCAGCATTTAAATGTGAATAAATCTCTTGGGCCTCGTAACATCACTCGTTACCGTGATACTGGTAGCGTAGCCCGACGTCAAGGAAGTGGACGGAAGAAAACAGCAATATCAGCAGAAATGGTTTGAATAGTAAAGAAGCGACTTGATCGAAACCCGCGTCGCAGTGGCCGAAAAATGACTCGTAACCTGAACATATCGGCAAATATTGAAAAATGAGCTCGGGGTGAAGCCATTGAAATTCCAAAAAGTGCAGGAAATTACACCGCAACAGAAAGAGAGTTGCTTCGCTTGGCCGAAAGTGGTGAATTGCCGAATTTGGTTTTCTCCGATGAGAAAAGATCGTGTTTACTTGCCAAAGAGGTCAGCTGAATATGTGCACCTTCGGTTGGCCAACAGAACACAAACGCCGGCCATAGTGTCGATCACCTAAAGCAAGCGCTTCGCTGGGAATGGGTCAAATACCGCAGATCAACATTCGGGCAGCGTGTGACGGTTTCATTGGCTGTTTGAAGGCCATAAATCGTGCCACAGTTGACCAATTCGACATTTCTGACATTTTTTGCTTTCATTCAATAAAATTTCAAAATAATATATAAAAATTATGGCGTTTGACATTGTTGCAGTTTTTTTATCACACCCTGTATATACCTAAAATAAAATAAGAATTCCGAGGAATCTTAATATATTAAATTTCTACCAATTTGGAAGATATGGAAACCTGCCCTCTCTATTTAGACTATTTTTTTGATGTAAACCTTTTATAGGCGAGACTTTTACTTTTTGCTTCTAGCTCCTACTTTAATAATACAATGAGTTTTTCCTATAATTTTGAAAAAATAATAAACAAAACCAAGTAAAAAATATGTAAGTTCGGCCGGGCCTCCACCATTAAGAACATATTTGGCAATTTTCAAAAAATTTGTTAAAAATACGGTACCGAATAGCGGGAGGTACCGTCATATGAGGGCTATACAAAGACGGGACCTGCATACGATGTTTGTATGGTATTTTCAAGTTCCTTCCAAATGGTGGAGGGTATTCATAGTACAAATTGTAATAACGATATAAACATATTTGCATATAGTTACGCTCAATTTGAACTTACCTGCTCAGTCTATTAACTCTTTCTCCAATACTTTGAAACATAACCAGACCCAGTGGTATGCCTACAATTGCATAACACATGGTAAATAATTTGCCACCAATTGTGCTTGGGGTCGAATGACCGTAACCAATTGTGGTCAATACTGTGGTCGCATAGTAGAATGCACCTGTAAACTTCCACTGTTTTCCGGCTTTGTGTGGTTCAGATTTTAATACAACCGTTTCCATTACCTTAAAATCCTCCTCAGATATATTGTATTTTTCGATAATCATATTTTCGACAGCTGAAATGACAAAATCAACAAGAGGATAATTTGTGAAATAGTTTTACAAAAATTTAAACAAAGATAAATGAAGAATATTGGTAGCCGCATCGACATATGTAGCTGCTGGGACAATAAACTGTCAAACCAATTTTGGAATTGACATTTTTGAATGAAAATTTATTCAAATTTGTAAGAATTCTTAAAAAATGCATATCATAACAACCTTCAATTGGCGTCGTATAGGAAAACATATACAAGTCCACTTATTTTGTACCCAAGCGTTGATGCATCTACCTGTATTCATGGTACAATAAAAGGGAAGGTAGAGCTTATAATACCGACTTCTGCCAATTTTGTGTATTTTTTTTTAATAAAAACAAAATATTTTTAAAACCAATGATTGGAAGACACTTAGATTGCGGCTCGTGCATTAAAGCTATTAACCAATTTAGCCATGAAATTGAAAGATTGAAAAGTTTGAATCATATTTTTGAGCGAAAATCCAGACATTTCATTTATTTTCACGCTATTTTATTCATTTTAAAAATGAGGAAAAAATATGAAAAAAAAAAAAGAAATGAAAACTTGTTGCATATAATTTTGAATGAGTCTGACAGGAAGCGGGCTTAAAGCTGTTCTATCTTTTTATTGTACCATGTCTGTATTCTTCTACCATGAATGTATATCACCCCTACCCTAATATCAGATGTACGCCTTCGACGTTTTTAATCACAAGAGTTAAATTACATGTATTTATATAAACTACCGAAATACGTCGAGGGTACAGAATTTCAAAGTTGAAGAAATTCAACATTGACAGAATTAATTTCTTTGCTATTTTTGCATGTTTAAAATTACAACGAACATATATATATATATATATATATATATATATATATATATATATATATATATATATATTTGGAACTGGAAGAGACTACCTTTTGAAAAATTTAATTTTGTTTTATTTTGTTGACTTAAAGATATGGACCTTGCGTATTGGGGTTTAATTTACGAAACATTTCACCAAATTAGAGAAGGTAAGTATTTATGTACAGGGTTGCCCATATTCGACGGCCCCATCTGGCAACGCCATAACTTTTGACAGAGATGTCACATCGCTTAATGACATACCGCGTTTGAAGCGTCAGTCCAAGCAGATTTTTACCATGAACCAATTCACGCCACGCGAGCGCTCTGAAATTTACATTCAACAGAAGAAGTCAATTGTGAAAAAAAATGTGAGAAGTGCGCCTTCTAAGAACACCATTAAGCGTTTATACGAAGAATTTTCGACTGGTAAGGCTCTTTCTAATCCGAAGAGGCCATATAAAAGTCGACTAAGGCGATCGGCCGAGAATATCGCTGCCGTACGAGCCAGTGTTGAGAGGCCCCCAAGAACATCCCAAAAACGCCGTTCTCAGCAGTTGGGCATGGCTCGGTCCACTTTACAACGGATTATTCGCATTGATTTGCATTTGTTCCCGTACAAAATTCAATTGACGCAAAGAATGTTGCCTGCGGACAAGCCTCGTCGATTGGAATGGGCCCAAAGGCCCGTCGAATATGGGCAACCCTGTACGTTATTTCGGGTATTATTGTAATACTTTTGACATGGAAAATTATAAATAAAGTTTTAAAATAAATCAGCACTAACTCGCAAAGCCTACAGATTTATAGATCACAGTAGTGCGACTGTCTGTATGTCAATCTGTTTTATTTTGAATTACCGGAAAAAATTGTAAAATTAAAATGTTTACGATTTCTGCAATTAACTACTAAATCCACTCGATTTCAAGTGTCAATTTCAGGGCGTATACGTCACGTAAATCGTATTCATAAATCCAGTTGATAGTATTTGGCGTATACTCTATTTATTTGCCATCTGAGATCGAGTGAATAGCGTACTTCTTAACGTACTGTAAGTCCTAACCATAGCAACAGTGCTGTCAACTTTAATTTAGACTTTTCATTCATAATTCTGTGTTTTAACGCTACCGATTTTTCAGGAAAATCAAAAAAAAAAAAAAAAACAGTAAAGAAAGTCATAAAGTCGGGCGAAGCCGACTTCTTGATATCTTACACCACTTTAGATATTTAGTAGAGCTAAAAATGACAAATAAAAGGAATTTGCGAGAATTAAATCATACTATGATTATAGTTATAATTTTAAGTCAAAAGGAACTAATATATGAGAGGAATATCCTCCTCTGAACCAATTTCTACTAAATTTGCCGAGGCATTTGTGTCTTTTCAATTCGGACTTGTATTAGCCATTTGATGCTCAATTAACTTGAAATCGGATAAATATATATGGGAGCTATATCTAAATCTGAACCGATCTCGATATAATTTGGCAAAGGTATTTCTGAACTGCATTTGATATATTTCCCCGAATCGTTACTACGGAGTGTATATTACGGTTGTGCAGGAATACTTGTTTTTAGACGCAGTGTGGTCGTAAGTGCCAAATTCCATTCCATTTGGGCTAATATTACACGTTTGGTGCACAAATAAAGTCAAATCTAACGAATTTATATATGGGAGATATATCCAAATCTGAACCGATCTCTAGCAAAAGTATTTCTGAGCTGTATTTGATATATTTTCCCAAATATAGTTGTTACAGAGTGCATATTACGGCTGTGGAGGACAAAAATAACAAATCAGATGAACAATATATATAGGAGCTATAGCTATATCTGAACCGATTTCGATCAAATTCGGCATACTTTTTTAAGGAATAATTTTGTCGTATGTGCAAAATTCCATAATATTTGGGCTAATATTACACGTTTGGTGCACAATAATAAGCAAATCGGATGAAGGTATATGTGGGAGCCATATCTAAATTTTGACCGATTCTCTCCAATTTCAAAAGGGATCAAACAAATGATTTGTGCAAAATTTCATCTGGACGGCCAATAAATGCGACCTGTACTTTGTTTACGGACATGCATAAATCGACTCAGAACGTGATTCTATGCAGATAATCAAAAGGAACTATTGGTCTATCTCGTTTCCTTTTACCTGTTACAAATAAATTCACAAAGACATAAGGTGTGTCTGGTTACTTTTCCTGCAGGAATTGTCCAGCAACATCTTTCTGAGAGAGTAAGGTAGTTTTACTCTCTTTTACAAGGAAATTACGTAAAGTAAACAGACGGTATTCCTGCAGAAGCTTGCAACTAATCAGCTGATTTGTCAAAACAAACCAATTTGTCCCCCTTTAAAAGAATTAAACGAAAGGAACCACCACCAATTTCACAAGTTTTATAAATAAAAAGGAAATTGACAATAAAATAAAAATATGACCAATATAAGGAAGATAGATTTAATGTGTTCCGCGGAATCCTTTAAACCTGTTGCTAATGGCATTTGTCTAAAAATGTAAATGGAAATATTTATTTTTTTTCACATTTTGTAAAGTTGTTCTCCAAAAACAATTAGTCTTGCTAATTCCAAAACAATATTTTCAAATTAAAATCATAAAAAGAAATAAATAAACAATAGAAAACATCTGATTGAATGTCGATGAATGAGAAGAAGAGTTGCAAGAAAAAATTTGTCCAGCAAGAATTTGCAAACTCTCACTGAAATAACTGTCAAAATTTCTCTCTCCAACCGCTCTCTTTTGCAGAACTTTCGGGTTAACAGACGACATCCAGTAACAATTTGTAACAATTGTTACAAATTTTAGGGTAACCAGACACACCTATAATACCCTGACCACCTTGTTGTGTAGGGTATAAAAACGTTAGAGAGTCAAATTGCAGAGTTGATATTTTATAGTGACTAGAATGATCCTGATCGTGGTAAAAGAAAATAGGTAGATGCATCAACGTTCCCACTGATGTGTCAGATTTTTTAAAGTGTTTTGTCAAAAATAGGTAGTTTCTTATATGTTTTCTTATACGACGCAAAACGGAGGATGTAATGATATGTATTTTCAACAATTTTTAAAAATTTGAATAATTTTTCATTCATGATTTTTAACTTCAAAATTGGTTTGACAGTTCTTTGTTCCAGCAGCTGTGTCGATGAGACTACCTGTATTCTTCTACCATGATCCTGATTCAAAACTACGCCTGCGTTAGGTATGGTTATGGGTCACTGGAGCCATTAATAGTATACTTTTCATTGATAGAACGATTTTTCGACAACTCTGCAATTTAATTTTTTTCTTTAAGAAAAATTTAATTTATTAACTCTTCAATATTTTTTTTTTAAATTAAGACTTTTCAAAAAAAAACCGAATTTTAATGTTTTCTAAAATATAGGTATTTTAATTTTTTTTTATCAAAAAGTCACCAATTGAACACCATTCGATGATCAAAATCATCAGTTGTAGTGTATCTACAGAAATGCTACCAATCGGTTACTTTTTAAGAGAAAAATCTCCAATTGTAGACCTCAAGTTTTCAAAAATAAAATTCTTCAAATGTGAAATTTCTGTTATGAAAGTCTCCAATTCTAAAGTAATAAACTTTTTTTTATAATCGAAAACCTTCATTTATAAACTTTTCTATTTTAAAAAGTCTACCATTTTAAAGGAATGTCTCCAATCTGTAAGAAATGTCTCCAATTATCAAGTTTTCTATTAGAAAAATCCTGAATTTCAAACTTTCCCATACGAAAACTCCAAAACTCTAAACATTTCTATAAGTATCAAATTGTAGACTGGAGACTTATGCCACAACAATTGTCTAATTTACAACTAACCCTATCAGACGAAACGTTTTTTAATAATATTATGTTTAATTTTCTATATGTAGAAGTTGCACATATCGTTTGAAACATAGACGTATTTGAAACATAGACTACATTTCAGTTGTTAAATACACAAGTAAAGCACATACCATGGTAGAAGAATACAGGCAGATGAATCAACGTTTGGGAACATTGATATGTCACTTTTTTGTTTTTTGAAAAATGTAGATTTTTATATGTTTCAAATACGACGACAAACGAAGATTTTTATGATATGCACTTTTTTAAATTTTTATAAATGAGAAAAACTATTTTAAATGAAAAATTCTATTCATTTTCGATACAAAATATCGAAAAAAAAAATGCAAAACAAGTAAATCCTTGCAGGTTCTGAAACAGAGTAAAAATTTGCAAAATTTGCTCCTTCCTACTGCTGACGACTCAAATAATAGGGATACGTAAGTCGACTTTTGAGTAATCGGTTATTGAAAAGTAGAAGAATGGTACAAGGTAGAAGAATACATGTAATCGCATCGACACAGCTGCTGGAACAATGAACTGTCAAACCAATTTTGAAATTGAAATTATTGATGAAAAATTATTCAAATTTGTAAATTAAAAAACCCATATCATACAACCTCCGATTGGCGTCGTATTTTTTGTACATATACAAATCTATTTATTTTTGAAAAAACATTTAAGCATTTTTGACACGTCAATGTTCTCAAGCGTTGATGCACCTACTTGTGTTCTTATACCATGTATTGGTTAAAATCATGGTAGAAGAATTCAGGTAGATGCATCAACGTTTGGGAACATCGATACGCCAAAAGTTTTAAATTGTTTTTTTTTTCCTTTTACACGATAATGCAGTTTCATTACTTTAAAACTGTAATTAACTGAGTGAGTGGGAATTTTGTGGTGGGCGTTTCCATATTCCTCGGACGTAAAAACTGCAAAACGGCTAGTATGGAAATATACAGGGTTAGGGGAAAAAACTACAACCAATTTCCGACTGCTGTCATTTCTAAGCCACTCGTCCGTATTCCAGTAACAGCTCATTATATTGTCTACAAGCGTACATAAGAAAAATAATTTTCCAGAAAAAAGTTATTCGTGATTGAATTCAAGCGTGGTAGTGTGCTATCTTTATATTTGGCTGGAAAACCACAAGTGGCTATCGTAAGAGCACTCCAGCATTTAAATGTGAATAAATCTTTTGTGTCTCGTACCATCGCTCATTACCGTGATACTAGTATCGTAGCCTGACTTTAAGGAAGTGGACGGAAGAAAACAGCAACATCAGTAGAAATGGTTCGCAAAAGTAAAGAAGCGACTTGATCGAAACCCGCATTGCAGTGGGCGAAAAATGGCTCGTGAGCTGAACATATCGCAATATTCCATTCGGCAAATATTGAAAAATGAGCTGAGCTCCAAAATGTGCAAGAACTTACACCACAACAGAAAGAAAATAGACTCAAAAGAGCTGAAGAGTTGCTTCGCTTGGCCGAAGGTGGTGAACTGCCAAATTTGGTTTTCTCCGATGAGAAAACATTCGTTGTCCAGCAGTTTGTAAACAAACAAAATGTTCGTGTTTACTTGCCAAAGAGGTCAGCTGAAAATGTGCACCTTCGGTTGGCCACCAGAACCCAAGTGCCTGCCATGTTAATGGTGTGAGCCGCCATAACAGCCGATGGTCGCTCTCCGCTCGTATAAAACGACCGTGGCATCAGAATAAATATCGAATATTATCGCGAAAATATTCTGGAGGGTTTATTAAAGCCTTGGGAACGCAAACATTTTGGCCGCAGACCTTGGACATTCCAATAGGACTCAGCACCGTCGCACTCAACACGCGCCAACCAAGAATGGTTACAGAATGAGGTTTCCAACGCAAAATGACCACCAAAATCTGCGGATACCAATCCGTTGGACTATTGTGTCTGAAGTATTTTGGAAAGCAAGGTTGGCACTAAAAAATGCCAATGTGTCAAGCAAGCGGTCACCTCAATGGGCCAAAATACCGCAGAGCAACATTCGGCCAGAGTGTGACGGTTTCATTGGCCGTTTGAAGGCCATAATTCGTGCCAAAGGTACCAACTTATTCTGAATTTTTATGCTATTTCCGACATTTTTTGATTTAAAAAAGTAAAAATGATGGCGTTTGACTTTGTTGCAGTTTTTTTATCTCACCCTGTAGAACTGCAAAAACGCTGGTATGAAAATATATATCCTTTAGATATTTAACCATAAAACATTACACCATAAACATGTAATGATCTTCATTTCATGCTAATCTGGGTGAAGACAAGTAAAAATGGCGCCCAATTGAACTAAATAATTACACAAGTTTGCATTGATTTTTTTTCTCTCATAAGCCATCGACAGACTTTAAAAAAAAACACAATTTAGGTTGGCTAAGTGCATTTTCGGCACATAATATAAACTTGGTCACCCTTAAGTCCTTTGTGCTTTTACGAAAAACAGAGCCGATGACTTATGCCAGGAAAAAATCCTCTTATGTATTCTCTCACCTTATTAAAGTTAAAAGTGAGATAAATGCTTTGATGAAGCTCTTATAAAACTGTCCCTCGTTACTGTGTGGAATGTAAAAATTGAATATAACTTTTATTTAAAAAACATTTCAAAATATCTAAATTCCGCGAAACTTACCTTGAAGTGCTTCACAACGTAGAGTTTCTGTTTCCGATTCGAGAGCATCAAATACAGCAGCTCCAACTAGTAAATAGGTAAATGTGCACACGATCAAAGATATCGTGCGAACATTTTGTTTCTTCATTCTTCATTGAGAAGAAGATTTTCAATATGTTCTCGGTATGGGATCAAAAAGAACTCTTCAATTTTTCCAACAGCTCTCAATGCGACGGCTGGACCAGCGTTGGCGGTAGATTGTGTTTTCAGGATCTGCTCTTTCAAACACAATGTGGCGGTTTGACGACAACAGTTATGGCGAGTTGATTGTTGCATAACTTCTTGGATTTTTTTCTCTTTGAATTGTTATTGGCAACGCTGACTTTGTTTTATGGGTATTACGATATTTTTATCTATATAGATTTTACACTCATTTCAATTGGGTCTTGAACTGTACTACTCCACATGCTCTTAGGTTTTATCACAACACGTAATCATCATCAGCATTGTAATCCACTCTTTTTTCTAATTTTATTTTATTTTGTTGATGGCACAATTTGGGATTATTTCAATTTGGCGGTTTTTGTTTTCTTTTTTTTCTTTGTTTGTTTTTGTTGTGTTTTGGCACAGTTTCAGGACAATAGGAAGATGTATTTGCTCGGTTTATGGTTTGTCATACTTATTTGTTTTGGGTTTCCGCATATAAAAATGACATTATAATTTTGTTTTATTACTTTGCGGAAGTTCAAATTGCAGTTGAAATTGGTTATTCGGGAAGCAGTGGTGATGTTGGTTTAATATTGGAAGAATTTTTCAAGTAGTCTGGACATAAACCTGGTATATTATGCACCGACATATTTTGGCTTGTGTTGGGCGTTGTTTTCTTTTTTTTTTTTTTAACTTTCTAAATTTCCACAATCACACTTTGGAGCAGTTCCAAAACACGGAGATTAATTCGTAACACACATATTTTAAATTAGCAATTTTAAATGCTCCGTGTTATTTGGATTATCTTTATTTCTAAATGAGAATTCATTATATAAATTAATGAAAATGTTTAAAATATAAATATACTCAACATACCAAAAATACAATACAGCTTGAGAATAAATATTATAAAAATAGTTTATCATAAGAATTTTTCAATAATGCTTGAGAAACACTTATGTTGCACAAACCTTACTCAAATCTGTCCTTTGTTGACAAATTAGTTTTGGTTTTTTGTAAAAATTGTCAGATAAAAATTGTATTCTTTGGTAAAAAGAAAAATAATGCGAATTTAGGACTCACTTCCGCACCGATTTCTTAAGGTAATGATGAATAGTAAATCTGGGAAACTGTGGTATATATTATTTCAATCTCATTTCAGACTAGTAGTCTTAGTGAAAGAGATGCAGAAGCTCAAATATAGGAGAAGTAATGGCCAGGATATCAAGGCCACAGGATACTATTACAAAAATAAACTTAATATAATATTACTTTCGTAAGTTTATTTTACAATTACAAGTATAAGCCTAACAAGTAAAAAATAAGCTAAGTTTGGCAGGGCCGAACATTTAATACCCTCCACCATTTCGAAAAAAAAATTAAAAAAAAAAATCCCGAAAACTACCACTTAAATGAAAACCGTTATATGGGGACTATGCTGTAGTGCCATTACGGACTTCAAATACGAAATTTGTTACAATTACGGTGTATAATGTTGCAAAAATCATGAAAATACGGTGTATCGGGAGGTACCGAAGACGTGGACCTGCACGACAATTTTCTGTCTTAGTTTGTAGTACCCAGAAGGATCTTCCAGTACGAAATTTAAACGATTCCGATGAATAATGTTGCTGAAATCGTCAAAATACCGACTATCGGAAGGTACCGTTATATGGGGGCTATACGAAGACGTGGATCTGCATATTAAAATTTTTGACATAGGCTGTAGTATCCATTTCGAACTTCAAATGCCAAATTTGAAATAATTCCGATGAACAAAATCACCAAAATACCGAATATCGGAAGGTGCCGTTATATGGGGGGTTATACGAAGGCGTGGACACGCACGGACAATTTTCTGTCATAGGCTTTAGTACCCATTACGAACTTCAAATACCAAATTCCAAACATATCCGGTGAATAATGTCGCTTAAATCATCAAAAGGTCGAATATCGGGAGATTATGTGGAGGCTATAACAAAACGTGGACTTACATGGCCCATTTTCAATACCAAAAGTCCTGCAGGCAGAACATACATTTGAGCAACATTTTATCAACCTACATTAATTCGTTCGGAAGTTAGAGTGATTTTCACAGACGGATAGACAGATATCGTTAAATCGATATAGAATTTTATGCTGATCAAGAATATATATATATACTTTGTGGGGTCTAAAATGTATACTTCGGGCTGTGAAAGGGGAGGGTACTGTCTGATTTTACATCAAATTCGAATAAAATGGCCACAATAAATTTGCAAAACCGCTATCCGTGTTATACCCTCCACCATGAAAAGGAGGGTATATTAACATTGTCAATCTGTTTGTTTCATCCCTAAATATTCGTCGTAGACTCCACAAGTCGGTTGGTATTGAAAATGAGATATATCGGTCCTCATTTTGGTAAAGCCGCCATATAACGGTAGTTTCCGATATTCGGTATTTGTATGATTTTCGCCGTATTTTTTTACGGATTTGTTATTTGTAAGTCATTATGGCTTCTAGTTCGATGATTTTCGCCATATTTTTTACAGGTTTGTTTTTTGTAAATCATAATGAGTTCTAGTTTCGGTGGCGAAACATTGTAACACCCCCATACAACGGTACCTCCCGATATTCGATAATTGTATGATTTTTGTCACATTTTCCCACGAATTTGTCTAAAAATTGGTATTTGTAGTTTGTAATGGATACTAGCTCCGGTGGCGGAACATAGTATAGCCCTCATTTACGGTACCTCCTGATATTCGGAGTTTTAATGATTTTTGCCACATGAATTTGTATTTGTAGTTCGCAATGGGTTCTAGCTGCTGTGGCAGAACAAAGTTAGCATAGGTCCACGTTTTTGTTCTGCCCCCAAATAATTGTACCTCCGTATATTCAGTATTTTGATGGATTTGTCTAAAAATTGGTATTTCTAGTTCGCAATGGGTTCTAGCTCCGGTGGCGGAACATTGAATATGTTCTGTCATCGATACCCACCGATATTCGGTACTGTGATAATCCTAGTCACATTTACCCACGAAATTGTTTCAAGTTTAGTATTTAAAAAGATTTGGTAAACGAAAATCCTTGAAGTATAACATTTTCTATAGAGGTTTCCGTTTTGGTATGGTCCCATATAACGGCTTCACCCCCGTTATGGTTTTTTAAAAAGTTTAAAAGCATTATCCAAACGGCCTTATTGGTATTTATAGTTTAAAGAGAAATTCGATTGAATTCAGATACTTTTATAGAAAAATGTTATATTTACTCAAAAGGTGGAGGGTATTAAAAATTCGGCCCGCCGAACTTAATGATTTTTTTATTATACAATAATGATAGCACTGTTACGCCAAATTACAATATTCATTAAAAAATGTTCTAGATGCATATGTGTGTATATGATGTCGTAACGAATATCGAAATTGGTCACCGAATTCCGTTTATATTACAAAAATAAATTACTGGATAATCCAAAACAGCTGATTGTCACAGGATAAAAATAAGTTGCAAGTGATCGCAAGACGTTATTTATCCGACAAGTAAAACAACTGTTAACATTTCGCACTCGAATTCCACTCTTTTGCAGAAATTTTATATTAACAGACAACTTCGTTCTGATTGTTGATGTGAGATGATGTAGATTTTCTCTTATTTTTGACCTTCATTTGTTCGTATCATTAAATTCAAATTTTATTGAAGGAATTTTTTATGTTAATAAGATTGTTGAATGTGTTCTACGGAATTTGATATTTTTTATTAATAAATAAATAAAAACATAAATATTTACTGCAACAAGTGGGCATAAATAAAAGAAGACTGTGTATGTCGCATGCACCTTGTATGTTATTACGAAAATCCCTCAAGGAAAGCTGTAAAATGTGTGTCCGGTCTCGAACCTAATAAAATTTATACTGGTTTATATGTAGATAACATCACTCATATAATTTATAGCTAATTGCCGGTAAATATATAAACACATACGTAAATATATGTACACATATACTAGCCATGAATGTTGGTATGCTATTTATGCATTTGTTTCCATTTATATCCTGCAGTATTCTCTCATTTTCAAGAATACATGGCCACATCTATAAATATGACAGCATTTTACGTCACTTGCACTCATTTTAGTATCAAACATAAAAAAATGTTTGTATGTATGTGTAGAAATGCATGTATGTAGTATATTTTCCGACATACATACATCGTACATATGTTTGTATATACATACATGTATTTGTATGCACTTTCTATTTCTAGCATAAGGAAAAGGACAGTATAACTATAAGATATATTCTCTTAATAAGGAAATACGAAAAAAAAACTCTTGAGAAATAAAATATGTTGATAGATGTTAAAATATAATGGATTTAAAAATTTTTGCACGTCTTTATTTCTGAAAATTGAATTGTTAATATTCGGAAATAGGATAGTTGAGATAAACTACTTATTAAAATTGGATACAATGATGAAGCGTAAACTTCAAAATTTTCTTTGTGGGTAAAAGAAGTTTGTGCTAAAAGACAAGTCGTGTATATGATGTCGTAACGAATGTCATGTATGTAACAATTTAAATAACAATATATTTTAGAGCATTATCGTGTGCTTTTACACATTTTAGTTTGAAAACAAGTAAGCACAGGCTACAGTCGTGCGGGCCGACCATGTGATACCCTACAACACTACAATATGTTAGAAGCCCCCTTATGTCCAAATCCATTTTGGAAGATTTCGCTTTTGAAATTATGTCACGGAGCACTGCACAAATATTACTAGCAGGGACATTTAACCAATATTTACGAACTTCGTCGTGCTGTTAGTTGTAGTGGTCCATTTTACAGCTAAATATAATCCAATGACCATATATAATGCTAGACTTCTTCCTTGTTGAATTTTGTGCGAGATTTCATGTCCATTAGTTTCTATTTGTGACCTTTATAACGGCTGCAAAATCAGGAACATTTTAGTTGTTGGTCCATTTTAACCCCTAAATATATTGCGGACATCTTTGAAAACAATAGGCCTGGCCCTTCTGAGCCTAACCCTACCCTTTTCGTGAGGATCGGACGATAATTGCAATCTGTATATAATATCCCAAACCTGTGTTGTAAGGTGGAAAAATATTACAAAATATATACCCTAATATTATACGTCAAAATGAAAAAATCGCATGCGATAAAAAATATGAAAAAATAAAAAAAATGTCACAAAATACTACAAAATCTATATTAACATCATTTTTGACTTATTTTTATGCGATTTTTTTAGATTTCATACTTTTATGTCAAGAGAGCGTTCTGAATTGGCAAAATTTGTCAAAATCGGTGCAGCCATTCTTGAGATATAAGCATTCCATCTAACATTCCTTTCCTTTGTATATACACATTGTAAATATATATTTCGCTATATATATCCGATATATTTACTATCGTAACGGTCAGAATTGATCTGTTCGTCTATTAGTGATTTCTCCGGCATTAAAAATATTCGCGGTTTAATGGAAATTTGACTTTAATTTAACACAAATGTATAGTCTTTTTCACCCACTAAATATTACCCGATGACCATCAAAATTGGAAGGCTTCTGCCCAGCCCGAAGCTCTGGCCCCATGCTAATTTCCGCGTCCATTGGTCCATAATTGCAACCTGTAGAGCAACTGTAAAATCAAGAAATTTTTCAGTTTTTGGTCCATTCCGACCCCTAGATATTATGCGATTATCTCCAAAAGAAATAGGGTTCTTTTCTGACCTTAACCCCACCTCCAATCTAAATTTCGTGAAGATCGGGCCATAAGTGCGACGTGTAGAGTGATTACAAATTAACA